CTTGAGTCTGTATTAAATCCCTGAAGGGGATGCTTCTTGCCCCTATTCCTAGCTTCCCAGAATCCAATCTTCCCCCAAAATTCACCTCCGTGGCAGGACATGAGGCCAATGATTTTGGGAAGCCTTAGGAATAACACTGAACTTGGGTGGTCCACTTATGGGCGGGGAGAGACTCTGCAGACGTGGAACTTTGTAGCGCATGAAACGAATGCCTTAATGAAATGCAGATCTGGGGGGAAAGTCATAAACTTCTTAAACTTTCAAGGCCCCCTACTCACAAAAGCTCCATGTGGGAGTTAAGCTAGCTAAATTTCCTTCGTATGAGATCTAAGACATGTTTAACTAGCAACTACAAAACTGTCTCCCACATACAGTAGTACCACTCTTTCATTCCCCCTGCCCACTGCAAAATCTATTACTCCACCTTCTCTCCCTCATTACAGAACAAAATAAGTCTGTATGGAAACTGAAGAGTGGCTTCATAACATAGTTTGTTTATGCAAATACAGATTCAGCTATGAGGACTTTCTACTAAGCTGTTATTTGCATACACAATCCTGTAACTCTAACATCCAGCTGGGGAAGTTTCTTACTAAGTTCATTCAACTTAGTGAAGAATGGATGATATTTTCAGCCAATTTCCAAGCATGCTGGCCCAATTCAGGGGTCCTTTTAATTGATGCTTTCAGATCAACAGTGGTGTCTTCTCAGACACTGGAGGAGTGATAATATACCCAACTGTCTTCTCTGTTGTTCTCCCTTCCCAAGGGCACTGAGATATAATTTGCTCTGTCTTCATTCATTGCTTTTTTGTTTGTTTGTTTGGGCATTTATTTGGGTTCAGTATAAGCATAATTAGTACTGAGAATGGATGGAATAGACCACAGAACGATCAAATTGTTATCTTGAGGTTAGAAGAGTATTTCCCAAAGCGTGGGAAGCATACCTAAATCAGCCATGATTTTAGGTGGTGCAGAAATACGACATTAAATAGGATTTAAATACTGAAAATACTTTTCCTCTTTCAATTCTCATCTAATCTTTCCAATAGCGTTCAGGACTAAGCGTCAGTCTGTTTTACCACTGCCTAATTGTCTTTTTAGTAAGGAGAGTGGGCATCAGCCGCAGAGCCTGAGACAAGGAGGTAGCTAGAATGTAACATATTTCTTTTTATTCATTATTTAGTTTTAATACAAATAAATAACAACTAAAAAGAAATACTAACTTTAAAGATATTACTGAAATTCAGAAAATATCTCATTTATGAGCTAAAATTTTCACTTAACAAGCAAAGATATTACACCTCACAATTCACAATCTGTTTCACAGTTTTAAATTTTAATCACCAATAAAATCCCAAATGTTCACATACAATGACAGAATCCGATCAGCTTTTGTTTCTTTGGTGTAACATCTTTTTTTATTAGCCCTACTAATCATTTCCTTTCTTTTATGAAAAATGATTCTGGATTTCCACGTATGGCTAATATAAGGTTTCCTTTTAAGGGATAAATTTAACTAGGAAATGGGTGAATTTAAGGGAAAAATATCACATAAATTATAGTATATCTGGCAAAGATGGTGAAGATGGTATGCAAACAACTGACATTTGGGAAACACTGGGTTAGAAGAATAATTTCAGAACCCTGGTCCACACTAGGAAGAAGCCAGTCTGCAGTGTTTACCACTATGGGGACTTGCAAAGTCACTGGAATTTGATTCACATCAACTTGGCCAGTTGGCATTGGGTCGACTCTGACTCATAGAGACTCTGTGTGTCAGAGTAGAAGTGTGCTCCACAGAGTTTTCAATGGTTGATTTTCTAGAAGTAGATCACCAGGCCTTTCTTCCAAGGTGCCTCTAGGTGGACTTGAACCTCCAACCTTTTGGTTAGCAGCAGAGTGTGTTAACCATTAGCACCACCAGAGACACCCACATCATCTTGAATTCCCCTTTAATGGCGTCAGCCACCTGAAGCTCTTTCTTCACTGAAGCAGAGCTGGGTGGCTGGAGAATGGGCACGTGTATCAGGTGGTGAAGACCAGGGTTCTTTTTTTTTCCTTCTAGTATAACAAGATACAGACCTTATGCCTAAAGAACTTTCTAAAGGCAAGTCCTAGCCTGGGGCTATCCAGGTGCTTTTTCTTGGCGTCTTTTGCCTGGCTCTCTGATGTCTTCTGACCAGCTTGTCCATCACAGATACTCTCTGCTTTGGATGCCTTTTGGGCAACAGCAGTCACAGCTTAGAATTTGTTTTTAAACAAAACCCATTTTTTTCTGTTGTTTTGAAGTGCATTAACATGCCTTGTCAATCAACTGCTCTTATATTCCCCCATCCCCCAACCACAAGACTCCGTATGAATGTTTATCTGTTTTTAAACTCTCAAAGACAATCTGCTAAAGAGAACATTCATAGTCAATTTCAGGTACACATTGATTTTCAACAGGGTGACCTATTTAAATGAACCAAATTAACTCAATTCCATTTGCCGAAGACGACAACAGGACATTTGAGCTCTGTCCATATTATCCAGGTGAAAACGGGGGGTGGGGGGTTGGGGGTGGGGAAGCAGCCCTTATTGATAGTTTTAAATATCTAAATGCTGTTGTGAATATGGGAAAGAAAGAAGACGAGTGATTTATTTTTATATCCTGGAGTCAGTGCAGATACTGCTCCTGAATGACCTTCATTGTCAAGCTGATCTCCTTTTATTAAATATAAGAAACTTCATGGTACACAGTACCACCGGC